AGCCTTCTTCATCTCAGGCACCTCGTGGCTGTGGCTTCGGAGGGCATACCCATAGTATTGTTTTATCTTCTTGATTTTGTCTTGGGTGAGCTTGCCTCTTCCACCAAGTGCCTCACCCTGTGCTTTTCTCTTTTCAACCACGTTGCGCAGCGCAGCACCCATTCGTTTGTGGACGTGGTTGAGGCAGTTCTTTTCTATGGGCACAAAACCATACACCTTCTCTTCAGTGAGTGCATGAAAGGTGCGGCTGTCTCCGTCGGAGAGCACGGTCATGTAGCGCAGCCCATGTCTTGAAAGCGAGCGCCTGAACATCACAAGTGCTGCCTCCACCTCCATGCATCCGGCACTGCAGTCAACGTTCTTTTGGCACTCGTGCTCTGCAAGCCACTTGGCGTAGCCCTCCTCAGAAGCCTTGGGTCCAATGGAACAGCCGAGGCAAAAGTTAGAAAGGACGACGTGGTCGATCACCAGGCCCGTGTACATTTCAATAATGCACCCCACTCCAATGTGGGAAGATCGCCCCCGGGTCATTCATGTGCCATCGAAGATGACGTCAATGTTGTTGACAGGTTGCAGAAGGTCGCTGTAGAGCTCCTTGACGACCTCAGCACTTGGAGCTTCAGATGCTGCCGCAATGGACTCGCACACACGAACCACCTTGCGCAGGTGCCCCTGGAACATCTTGCGGCGGAGGCCCCTGTGCGACAGGTTCATACAGGCACAGAAATCCGAAAGTGCAGTCACACCTTTCCCAATGGATTGGATGCCCTTCAGGGCCCTCAGGTTTACTTCAAAAGGCGTGATGTTCGCCGCTCCTTCGACCCTCGGTGACGAAAAACGGGCCTCGCGGAGGTCGCACCCGGTGCACGAGAGTTCTAGCTCCACAGCCAGCCCATACTGCCTAGCCAACTTCGTCAACTTCACGGGCATGCCGCACTCCCCGCATGTGGTCTTAGCAAACAGACCTTCCAAAACTGCCATGTCGATCACGACAAAGTCGGTGCCCGCACCTCCGTCGACATCCGCGAAGTTCACGTCTAGAAGATCGAACTTCCATTGAGTTGCCGACTTGTTCTCGATGTCACGTTTGACATCGCTGGCGCGTTCCGAACGCTGCGCATTCTCCTCGGGCGTGTAGAACCTCGTGTCGATTCGATGGGACTTACTCGCCGCGGGGCTGGGTTGAGCACAAACTTGATCAGGCGATCGGGCAGCTGATGCGGAGGGTGATCGCGGACGATCTACTTGGATGGCCGAACATCAGGCGATCGGGCAGCTGATGCGGAGGGTGATCGCGGACGATCTACTTGGATGGCCGAACATTCCGCCGCCGCCGCATCTTGGGATAACGTGGGCGTTCTCTTCAATGGACGGCGTCGCTGCTTTCCGAACGCACGACGCGTACTAGACTTCAATCACTTATCCCTGGCCATCACTTCTTTCGTAAATGCAACGAAAGGTGAGGTCAACAACCAAGAAAATCAGCAATTGCGAGAAGCGAAACGAAGAGAACTTGCTTGTCGTCGAAGCTAACAAAGCAACGAAACGAGAAGCAGACGACGCTGACGACGACGCCGTGGAGGGGATCGCGCGAGAGCGAGGAGGAAGGAGAAATCGGAGAGGAGGCGCGCGCTTTCACCAATAGCGTAAGCGCGCTACGTCACGTGAGCTGTGTAGCCAATCGGCTGCCGACTTCTGTGACTCAGTAAACACACCACAAGTCCGGTTCAAGAAGGTCTTTCTCTTCGAAAAAGGCGCGAAAATCTGGCCGGGAAGACAAGCTACAAAATGAAACCAAGATGGCCGCTATCGGAGCGGCAGCGGCTGAGCACCATGCGCCCGACGTTGAGCCACATTTCGCGTCTCCGCGCTCATTTGGGACTCACTAGCCACTGGTAATTACGTTTTTTTTTGTACCTCTAGGTTGAATTAGACCACGAGAATTAGCTGAGACAAGGTCAGATATATAAGGAGTCCTGAAGTACTGTTTTTGAAAAATCGACATTTTCGCGATTTTTTTTTTATTTCAAGACCCGCGACCACCCTTAAAGGGTCCCCCGCTTTTGGGACGTGACTGGCTGGAAGTGCTGAGGCTTGACTGGGCTACCATCAAGGCTGTCCAGTGCTTGAAGAAGGGAAACAAGAAACAAGTCATCAGGCTTTTAAAGGACTTTGCTCAAGTGTTTTCAGATAATCTGGGCCGTCTCCAAAGCTAAAGAGTGGGTACACTACAGAGTTCCTCAAGCCAGGACCAGTGCCCCATGCCCTGAAGGCAGCTGTCTCTAAAGAACTGATGGCTTTGAAAGGTAGGGATCCTAACCCTGGTGGATAGCAGCGAGTTTGCGTCGTCCATCGTGCCGGTTGTCAAAAAGAATGGAGACATAAGAATCCGCGGCAACTACAAGCTGACAATGAGCCCGTGCTTGGAGGTCAACAACTATCCAGTCCCCAGGATGGAAGAGATATTTGAAACACTTGTAGGAGGGAAAAGTTTTTTGAAAGCTGGACCTCATAAAAGCCTATTTACAGATTGAAATGCATCGTGCAGCATGAAAGTACCTCACCATCAACACCCAGTTAGGGCTGTTTCAAGTGAACTGTTTTCCCTTCGGCATAGTGTCTGCACCCTCCATCTTTCAAAGAACCATGGATCAAGTGCTCCAAGGGTTACCACAGACAACCTGCTACCTGGATGACATCCTGGTGACAAGCAGAATGAAGGGTGAGCATCTTGAAAACTTCAAAGCGGTCTTAATATGGTTACAACAAAAAGGAATGAGTATTCAGAAGGAAAAGTGTAAGTTCTTACAGAAGGAAGATACATACCTCGGTCATGTGATCAGTCAGAAAAGTCTATAAACCATGGACGATAAAGTAACAGCACTTAGAGATGCACCCATTCCAAAGAACAAGGCAGAGTTGCGTTCATTCCTTGGGTTTGCTAACTACTATGGCAAATTTCTACCAAACTTGGCAACTACCCTGTATTCTTTGAATTGTCTACTGCAGAAAGATGCAGCATGGGAATGGAGCAGATTGTCAGGACTCCTTTGACTCTAACTTGTGAGATCAGCACCAGTCCTATTTTGACCCACGTCCACCCATTATACTTGCATGCGATGCATCAGCATGTATGGAGTAAGTGCATGTATGGAGTAAGTGCAGTCCTGTTCCATGTGTTTGAAGATGGAACAGAGCGGCCAGTACCTTTTGCTTCGAGGACCCTGACTGAGCATGAGAATTACAATTGAAACCCGATTTTACGAAACCCGATTTTACGAATTTCTGGATTTAACAAACAAATTCGGATTCCCCCCGCAGTTGCCCATAGGCTTAATGAGTTTACGAACTCGAAATAGCGAAACAAACTCCGCCGCCAAACCCGATTTAATGAAGCATTCCGAGAAAAAAGATGCATAGAAAAAGAGGTTTTTCCAAATTTATGGCGTCTAGAATGTATGGCAGTGTGCTGCCGGCGTAGGAGCGGTACAATCGACGCAGCGGATGCATTCTTGTTTTGGTTCCTACGAAACTACAAACCGAAACCGCACGGAACGACAGACTGCGCATTTCTTTCGAGGCTTTGGATCAGTTCCACCAGATGGCGAAAGCGGCGGCAGGTGCTTGATCTCGCATGTGACAGATGGCAGCACTGACGCTCTTTAGCTCAGCTCCCCTCCGCGCCTCCGCTACTCTCGCCACTAGCGGTTTCCACCACCCAATCGCCTGTATCTTTCAGCTCTTCGCGCACTTTAGTTTTCTTTCTTCTGCTTTGCTCTGCGCATTCTGCGTCGTCGAAGGATGGAGCCTCCAAAGAAGAAAAGGAAAGTACTGACCCTTGAAGAAAAGGCGAACATAATCCATGCTGTCACGAGCGGACGGAAAAAATGTGACGTGGCCGCGGAACACGGCATCCCGGCGAGCACGCTTTCGAACATCTTGAAGACGAAGGACGCCATCGTCCTTGCGACTTCCTCTGGGAACGCATCCAAGACAAAAAACCTGAAGACGACCCCGCACGAGAAGCTGGAAGAAGCCCTCTTTATGTGGTTTAATGACATGCGAGTCAGAAACGTTCCACTCAGCGGGGAAGTGGTGCAGCAGAAAGCGATCGGTTACGCGTGTTTGCTCGGCTTTGACGAGTTCAAGGCAAGTCCCGGCTGGCTCTCGCGCTTCAAAGAGCGCTACGGGATTGTTGGCAATGTGTCGAGCGGGTAGTCATCCAGCGTGAACAAGCAAGGAGCCGACGAGTTGTTGTCGGAGAACGTGCCGGAGATCCTTGGGAGGTACGCCGTGCAAGACGTCTACAACGCGAACGAGAGCGGTCTGTTTTATCAGATGCTGCCGGGCAAGATGCTTGCTCGGAAAGGGGAGCCTTGCCACGGCGGCAAGCAGAGTAAACAGCGACTAACACTGTTGCTGCGCGTCAACATGGATGGCAGCGATAAGCGTGATCCGCTCATCATTGGAAAGGCCCAGAATCCTCGGCGCTTCAAAGGAGCTAGAAAACTATCGGCGGAGTACGTGTGGAATACCAAAGCCTGGATGAGCCGCGCGATCTTCTCGGAGTGGCTAAAAAGCTTCGACGACGACATGGGCCGCCAAAAGAGGAATGTGTGTCTGCTGTTGGACGATTGCACGGCGCACCACATCCCGGAGCTTCACCTGAAGAATGTGGAGTTGCGGTTCTTTCCCCCCAATGCGACTTCCGTCATTCAACCCCTAGATCAGGGGATCATCAACAGTGTGAAATGCGCATATAAGCGCAGGGTCATCGAGAAGCTCCTGCCGAACTTGTAAATCAAACGTGAGACCAAGATCGACGTGTACATGGCGATCGAGATGGTGACAGCATCGTGGAGAGCAAATCGGTCCTCGATCGTTGTTATGCTGGCTTCCACACTTCTACTTCCGAGGCTGCGTCGGGCTCCACAAGCCCGCAACACGACCAGGAAGAGGCATCGCCCAGTTGTTGGGAAGAGCTTCGTCGGCGTGACCAGGTGGCCGCAGATCAGGACTTTGACGACTTCGTGAACGCCGACGCAGACGCGGACACTGATACAACAGAAGTTCTCGACGACGAGGAGATAGTGCAGCTTGTTTCCGGCGCACAAGAAAAGTATGAAGAAGCGAAAGGTCCGGATGCTGTTAAAGCTCCTGTGCCCACCCCAAGCAAGGTGATGGACGCCGTCGACCCTCTGAGGCGGTTTGCTGGGGCGCACGAGGGTGCCGAGGACGCTTTGACCTCACTCGCCAGCTATGAGAAGTGTGCGCGCCCGCTGCTCACGAAACGAGCGCAGGCGAAAATCACGAGCTTTTTTGACTAGGCAATAAATTTGTCGTTCTCTCAAGAGCTGCGAGCTTTTTTCTTATTTTTTTTACACGCGCACGCAGTTGTGCTCTTGCTCATTCACGGAGCTCTTGTGCGCGCATTTCTTAAAAAGTTTCGGCCCGTAGACTGCGCGAATGTGATACCGCGGTAGTTCGTAGGATGCCTCTGCGCTAATACTTCAAATTGATCCAATCCTACGCCCGAAAAATGACGTTCCTGATTTGACGAAGTTCCCGATTTAACGAAATAATTCGCGGGTCCCGGTGACTTCGTTAAATCGAGGTTCAACTGTATTCTTATTTAGAAAAAGAGGGCCTAGCTATCATATATGGAATAAGAAGATTAGACTACTATTTGCATGGCTATCACTTCAGGCTGATCACAGACCATGCTCCCATCAAAGATAGGCCTGTCAGTCAGCCGCACACTGCTACACAATCGTCCACCGGTCTTTCGAGGAAAGTGCTAACGCAGATTGCTGTCAAAACTGCCAAAAGCAACGGACGACACCAACACCGACGCTGTCGACGAAACGTACGCAATCTACTGGGAGTATTTCCACAATGTCCATTGCACGGCAACATCCAGATACCTTCTCCTAGGTCGGATCATGAAAAGAGTAAAGCATGGTTGGGGCCCAGAACACAAGCCAATCGATCCAGAGTATGTGCCCTTTCACTTTTGTCATAATGAGCTTTCACTCTATCAAGGATGCGTCATGTGGGGTCTACGGGTGGTAATTTCAAAGACTGCGAAAAAGGGTCTTCGCAGAACTCCATAGGGACCATTATGGCACTGAGCGCACTAAGGAAATGACTAGGAGTTATATTTGGTGGGCTTCGGTTAATAAGGACAATGAAAGGGAAATCGGAGGGTGTAACGTGTGTCAGCTGCAACGAAAAAACCCGTCTGCTGTTCCCCTACATTCTTGGGCATGGCCGACGCGTCCATGGGATAGGCTACATGTGAAGCTGCCGGGACCTTTCATGGGAAAAATGTTCCTTGTCCTAATGGATGCTCACTCTAAATTATCAGAGGTGTTCGTCTAAGAGAATACAAAGTCGAAGGCCATCATCCAGAGTGCACAAAAGTTCTTTGCACGTTTTGGCTCGCCCACAACCATGGTTTCTCACAATGGGCACCAGTCCGTGTCTGAGGAATTTCAAACTTTCTTAAAGAACAAGGTTGTCACGTTTCCTTCTGTAGTACAGGAACATCCTGCACCCGACAACAAGGGAGTCCACGGTCCAGTTTGTGCTACAACGGAGTGTCCGCACCAGACTGGACCTCCTGAGACCATCAGTTGCAGACTGTGTGGCCAATGCACACTACCGCAAACAGCGGCAACACCCATGTGAAAAGCGGAATTTTACTGCAGGAGACAATGTCTATGCCAGAGACTATCTAACCGGTTGCAAGAGGCAGCCAAGAACAGTCACTGCCCAGACTGGTCCAGTATCTTTCCAGGTGCAAGTCTCCCCGGGTCAGGTGTGTCAAAGACATCAGGATCACTTGCTCTCAGCACCTTCGCAAGACTCCGGACCTTCCGAGCAGCGTCCAGACGAGGCAGCAGAGGTGCCTGCCGCAGATTCGACAGACAGCGCAGGTGGCAGCTACCCTCCACAGGCATCCTTGCCTGCACCATCCACAGTCACGAGCCCAAGAAGACGCCGTACATCCCAAGATGCTGAAACGCTGATGGATGCAGATGAGTGTGACTGAGAGCGACAGTATCCCGTGTGAGATTGGTGCAAGCCTTGGAGGCTGATAGAACAGTGAAAAAAACACATGACAAACTCTTTTAAACAAACAATTACTTGCTGTTAATGGTTCAAAGTTACTTGCTGAGTATGTTCCAGTTTAAAAAGGGAGGAAACATGTGGTGTCCAAGGGGCGCTGCGAAAGCGGGGGCGGTGGCCGTGCATAACCTTGTGCACACGGCACTTTCAGTTGACTCGGCACGAGCAATGGCGGAGTGCGGGCAGCTGAATAAAAGTCTTCGAAAATACAACACTACCAATAGCTTTATCCTATCTCTCATTTCTTGCTTCAGGTAGAGACACTTTATTGCAAGGCATAAAAGAAAAAGCTCTTGTGGCTCTCAGGTTACCACAGGCAAAGTGCCACCTTGCGAATTCCCAGGTTCAGTTCTTTGCTGAAAGATCCCAATCCTGAGTTCTCTCCAGGTACATTCCCAAAGTTTACTCATTTTTCTTTTGTAAGTGTCTGGGTTTCTCAGGTGGTGTTTGTTCAAGACCGTCACATAAGCTGTCTGGTCAAGAACGTGACAGCACCCGAAATGTAATGTGAGTAAAAACATTTTGCGTTAACAAAAAATATATATATTATTTTATTATTAAATGTTTAAAAATAGTGAGCAACTTGAGGCAGCATATGCCTCAAATTAAAATGTAAATTTATTTATATTTTTTATTCTCTGAATGTTTGGAAGTGGCACACACATATTATTCTTTCAATCAATCTTTATATGTGAGTGTCTTCGCTCAGTGGAAGTGCCAGGCTTGGGCAACATAGATATAAAAATAAAGCGAGGATTCCAAGTGCTTTCGTGAAATCGGTGCGTATTCGAAGCAACTGGCCACAATTCAGCCCCGGGCTATGCTCGGTGGCCATGGCATAAAGAGTCTTTTATCTCGTGGAGATCCTTCGAATCAAAGCCATGCAGTCAACCACACAGCACTATGGCATCTTCGTAACCACCATCACGCAGAACACCACAAAAGAGCAATTGAATTACAAAACACAAAACTTTGCCAAGGTGTTGCCTCTTAAGAGCATGCAACGAATGCCCGAATTAGAAAGGATTTTCGAACCCTGTCAAGGTGGCCAGAAGTGCCCGGAATACAAAGTATAGGAACTTAACACTAAACTTGCCCAACATTCACTCACCACTGCGATGAACCTTCTGTAAAATTCGTAGTTTGCTGCTTTCGTCTTCTGCAAGCCCAGCCCTTTTCACCATGCACACCTTTATTTGGGATTTGAAGTTTCTGTATAGGCTCCCTACAGGAGCCAGAGTTGCATGTTAAGCCATCTTGAAATCCCAAGTGATGCGGTAGAGCCACTTCTCGTGCGCGTAGGAGCCGTGCTCCGTCGATTGCAGCCGGGCACATAACTGAATTCGGCGAATAGAGGCGCCACGCACGTCGCCGTGCTTGGAAAACGGGAGGAGGAGGAGGAGGTGGCAAAAGCAGGGTAACATACGCCGGCGCACGTGTGAAACGTTGGCGAACCGACTTTCCTGCATGGCGCAGGATTCTTTGCTCCTCACATGATCGATATCGGCAAATAGCGGCGCAGAGGCACATGGAAAACAGATGCACAACTATAGCTACCTATAAAGGAACTCTATTTGGACCCTACTGAGGACACCTCTCTGGCAGAGGATCTCAGAATTAGCACAACCCCAGCAGTTTGGGATCAGCTGTACAAGAGCTGCTCTAGACTTCGACCGGCCGTAGCAAAGCCATCGAAAACATTTATTAAAAAGGTGGAAACGATAAACTTACCGTGACTTGTAGACTGATTCGGTTCCATACGAAGTGTTGGATGCGGTCAGGCTCCAAGGGCACCTGCTAAACGCCGTCTCACTGAAGCCAAGCCGTTTTCTCCGAGGCTCCCGTAACTGTAATCGTGTTCAACATTTGGTGAGCAGGAGGTTAGTGAGCCCCAATCGGTGTCTGTCGTCTCCACTGTAAATCAGAATGTCTGCCAGTATAGTATGACCGCTAGCCTGGGGTCCTTAACGTGCATCGCACAGTGGAGACACACGACCACACGCCGGTACAACGCTCATCATGATAGAAACTCGCAGAGACGGGTACTAAACCCCAGATCCCCGGGTTGTACAGCACGAGCTTTCATCCACGTTATCCGAGCTGTGGTGCATTAACACGTCTGGTCACCGACCCCTCTCCACTCTTATAACCGAGTTCAGAACCAGTGGATGAGGAATATTTCTTGCTAAACTGAAGGCAAGCTGCAAACAAACAAAAAGGCAGGTCCAGAACTTGTTGGAAAGTAAACAAATGCGTTACGTTTGGAGTAACACTGTTAGCTATAATGAGAGTGAGCGCAATGTCCACTATCAAATTAGGTTTACCAGCTGTCAATTCGTCCTTGCAAATGTTGCAAGCACTGCTAAACGCTTTCCTAGGTACAAACATGTAGTTTACAATGCAGTGACATATACTTCGGTAGTCGAGTGCCCAATATTTACGAGACCTAATTACTACAGCTATACTCGGCATCAACTATTCTGCGCAGCATTGTGGAACCTAGCATAGCTTCCACAGTGCAGGTCATCCAGTGTGGAAGCTAAGCAAGGATCGGAAATGTAGAACAAAATAGAGACGCGAGGCATAGTAATAGAAGTATTGCTAAATTACCCTAGAATCATGGATGAAGAAAGAATAAAACAATTAAAACAGGGACAACACTACCACATCTTTCAACTAGCAACAGACGAGTAAACTTTCGAACAGCGAGCAGCCGGCTATACCCAGTAGGAGTATGGGAGAGAGATCTTCAACCCATCTTCCTTCTTCGAGGCTGCTTGCTTCATCTCAAGAATGAATTTGCCTTGTCTAAGGCTCCGCTCGCTCGGTTTGCACCTACGCAAGAGCCTCCCTCATCCTGGAGTGGCCTCCGTCCTTGGAGTCCACTGTAACACCTGGGCCTCCATCTACCGCATCATGCAGATATCGAGGAAAGAAATATCCCTAGAGCTCCACCTTCTGGGGAGGGTCCTTCCCAGCCATATGACGAACTTGTTTGGCCCTGGCTTCCGCTCGCATCCTTCGTACCTGTTCATCGTCGACGCCGCTTCTCGCCTCCTTGAAGCTTCATGGAAAAAAGTGATCGCTGGAGTGACTGCGTCCTGCCGCAAGCTGAACGAGACGCAGTTGGAACCGCCAGTCCTGTTGTACAACACTGCTATCTCGTCCGACACCATAGAATTGCTCTCCAAAGGCCCCAAGTTCGCCCCAGACCTTCCTACTAAGAAGGTTGACCAACTCGCCTCAGTACATCAAGTCGCTGCAGCCATTCCAGAACCACAGAGGCAAGATTTTCTCGGCTCCGCCATCCGCGCTGTGTGCTTCCACCCACCCCCCAAGCCAGGCAAGATTTCTCTACTCGCCGCTGTTGAAGAGCTTCGTCAAGAACACCTAAAGCTGTTAGAATCCGATAAGACGGGTGTGTTTGTTGTGTTAGAGGAGGGAGATTTTGGAGATAAGGTGAACGCCGCCCTTTCAAAGAATTTTCTCAAACTGAAATCGCGACCGTCTGGGACCCTCAGGTCAAGAGCCAAACAACTCTGCTCGTCTTTGAACCTTTTGTCCTTAAAAACCGCCATTAGTAGTCCAGCGAAGCAGTACCTTTCAGTTTTCTTCACTGCAAAAACACATAAGACTGGAGTTCCCTTCCGAAGTATTGTGTCAGAGAAGGGTTGTTGGCAGAAGCAGCTCGGGCTCTTTCTACAAAAGCATCTGTCCTGCATCCACCTCCCTCAACCCTTTAGAGTGTCTAACTCAATAGAACCCATCTCTGTCATCAGTTCCCAACATTCCTTCTCCTTGCCCCACTCTATTTTTCACTTGACATAGAAGACATGTATTTGAATCTAGATCCTACCACTTTGCTTGCCTCAATCTCCGACGCCATCTTTGAGCACGGAGCTGTGGATTTTCAGAATTCTTCCGGTGTCCCCGTTGCTGGATTCGTGGACCTGATTCATCTATATCTCCAGTCCACCTTAGTCGAACATGAAAGAGGGATCTACCGCCAAAAAAGGGCGTTTGCATTGGTTCATGTCTCGCCCCTGTTCTCAGCGAATTGTTCCTTTTATTTGTTGACAGAGCTATAAAAGCACAACTGGACATCTCCGCGCCTGGCTGCCATGTTTTCAGATATGTAGACGATTACCTAATCATTCATCCTGCTCAAACTTCTCCAGATAGCATTACAGCTGTTTTTTCCGCTTGTTCCTCAGGCCTTACATTCACAAAAGAAGAACCATCGAATGAAGGTCTTCAGTACCTATATTTGCCGCTTGATGTCAGTGCCACTGGACTCTGCTGGGCCTTTCAACAAAGGTCTGCCAAACCTGTCTTACCGTTTTCTAGCGCCCATTCGAAGTCGGTAAAACACGGTATCATCAAATCGTTGCTTTCTTCATCCTTCACGAAGTCTTGCTGTTATCTTTCAGAAGATAGCTTTAAATTACAGCACATGAGGCTCGTCAGGGCAGGGTTTCCCGTCGACCTTCTCCGCTCTGTAATGGAAAGGATGATTCGCGGGCCTGATCGCCACTCACCAGCCACAAAAAAGAAAACCCGATTCACCGTCATTCCTTACGTACACAATTCAGCCCACCGGATAAAATCCATTGCCTCAAAGTTCGACACAAATGTCGTCTTCTCGTGCCGCATGCGTCTTAAACAACTATGTCAACAAGTGAACAACAACCGGATTCCGATTGGCTGCACCGTCAAACACGAAAAGAAATTCATTCCATGCAAAGAGAAGAAAGTTTACTCCATCCCCTTGAGCTGCAGCCATTAATACATAGGACAGACCGGCAGATGCACCAATCACAGACTCCGCGAACATCACAACGAAGTTTCTAAGGCCTCTCCAGATTCTTATCATCCCATAGTCATACATGCCCGTTCGTGTTTACGTAGTCATCCCCTCTTTGATGACACAAAATCCTGGAGGGGGCATGACAGCAGATTCGGCAGGGAAATCATAGAATCATTCGCGATGACCACAGCAAAAAACAACGTGTCTAATCCTTCCCTCCTGCTGACGAAAACTGTGGTTGAATTTTTAAAATCTGAGATAACCCTACCACACTGACTTGCACTTCGCGTTTCTTTTCTTTCCTTCTCTTCCCCTTCTCTCTCCTTCTCTCCCCTACTCCTACTGGTTATAGCCGGCTGCTCGCTGTTTGAAAGTTTACTCGTCTGTTGCTAGTTGAAAGATGTGGTAGTGTTGTCCCTGTTTTAATTGTTTTATTCTTCATTCATCCATGACTTTAACCAACACGCTCTTCTCCAAAGCATACACTAGAATCAACGAGAATGGTGGGAATGTAGATGAAGACGCCCCACGTGCTCGCCTTCCCCGTATAAAAGATTTGAAGTAAATGACCAAAATAAGGCGTTCCCAAACGAGCAAGAAAGATGGTGCATTTGTTTGAGGTTTTTGCTTTAAAACAGCTACCGCTGCAGACTCCAGCACATGCAGCGCATGAAACTACACTTGCAGAATGATTCTTGGTGCTTTCGGTTCGGGTTGACGGCTTTCGGTTCAGTTCCGCAAGGAGCAAAGGCAATGGCTCAAACCGGTTTGGACCGCTTAATAGACCCTTTTCAAAAGTCAGCGCCTCTAGGGACGGTTGCGCGAACTTCACAAAATCCGCCATTACTGCGTCGTCGTCAAGCACCGAGGGTGTTGAACCATACCGTTCTGTTCGGCAGTTTGACATGCCAACTCATTGCTGCGTCCCTCAATGCACCCAAAGAGGGCCAAAAGATGAAAAACAACAAAAGGTGAGTCTTTTTTTTTCCACGTTAGAAACACCAGTATTCGAAGAAATCAGGTCATGCAGATCCGCGCGGAGTGAGCGGCGATCACATTAGGCCTGTCTGCTGCTGCCTCAACGCTTTTCGAAGCTTCGAGAGCGTGTTCACCGCTTCAGAGTATAAAGTTTGCACAAATAAAAATAATCTTTAGAGGATAACCCTTGTCCACGTGACATCGTTTCAAAATGCGTTTGAACTGCTCGAGTAATCGTGCGATGAATCCCGTAGCTGCGAGCGATTCCTGACCAGTATTCGGAGTTTATTTCTGACAACGCTGCGTTGTGGTGTCCGTTCACATGTTGTGTGAAGTTTCCTAGTAGGTATGGACACGTAGCTTCGGATAATACCTCGTCTGCACAAGCAATCACGCAAAAAAAAAAAAAGAACGAGCGCAAGGAGTGCTCCCACGTCGCATTACATGGAATTCGATAGAACATTGTTTTACGTTCAAGACATCGGCCTTCTTCGTCTCTTTAGTGCCTGTATCGGGAGCTCGTGCTGCAACTTCTAAACATGTTTTCAAGCGCGCGCCCGGGGCGGTATCGGGCCTCCGAGACGGTTTGCTTTGCTCGTCCCCGCAACGTTCTGCTAGAGCTGCTCTTCAAGTGCTTTGGCCACATTATCTCGTAACGTTGCCCGTGAGCATACAACTCGCCCGATCACAGCCGCAAAAGGCACAGCATGCTATAGAATACATCACAGCATACCTGTAGGCCACAACATGATTAAATGAATGACGTGTTGTTGAGAATAACACTGGAGAGTAAAACAGGCATGTGCATGGGATGCATAGGAGAGTTGACCTTATTTAGGTCACTTAAAGAGCTTGTAACAAAACAAATAGAGACAAAGAGACACGCCCGAGTCTTGACAGAAGGCTATTTAAAAACAACCAGTATAACAGCCCGACGGAAACAAGATTTTATTGCAAAGCTCCGTCTGCATGGTTTAAGTTCTACAACCACATTTTTCTAACCGCAATAATTCTATTCCCAGGTTTCCTACTTTGGGTTTCCAAGAAGCAAGGACCTCCACAAGAAGTGGATTGTTGCCATCAAAAGAGACGAAGGGAAGCATTTCAAGGTTACCCAGTCCACTAAAGTGTGCTCAAAGCACTTCAAGGAAGAACAGTACCTGCCTGGTTATGTGAATGGCCGAAGGTTTCTAAAGGAAGGTGTTGTGCCATCCGTATTTAGGTTTTCGGTCACTAAAGTGCCTAGAAGGACACTCCACAGAAACGCCACTGCACCACTGAGCAGTCCAGTGAACGTGGCAGCTGCAGTTGGAGATGAAGCAGGCACACCAAGCTGCGAGGACCAGCTCCCACCAGACCCAAATGCATCCCTGCTACCTCAAGAGGAAGTAGCCGAACAAGCTGCCCTGGTTAGACGGCTTACATCTGACCTTGAGAAGTCTCAGGAAGAGCTCAGTAAAGCTCAAAGAGAAGTTCTGAAACTCAAGAGGCACATAGAACTTCTAGAAGAAGAGAACAAAAAACTAAAACAGAAAGTAAGCCGCAAGTTTTCCATCGAGTGCTCTAAGGATGCCCCAGAGGACGTCCAGTTTTACACGGGACTGCCCGATTATGGAACATTCATGTTTTTGCTCAAGTTTGTGGACCCAGGCCAGAACGGAGAGAATGTGAAGCTGTGGTCAGTATCCTACTCTCAGGACAGCAAGCAAGGTCGGCCCCGAAGCTTGCCCCCTCACGACGAACTCTTCCTTATCTTGGTTCGCCTGCGCCTTGGACTGTTTGAGAAGGACTTGGCCTTCCGATTTGGAATTTCTATTGGCACGGTTTCGCGCCTGTGCACAACATGGATTAGCTACTTATACATGCACTTTGCAAGACTAGACTTATGGGCAACGCGGCAGCAGGTTGATGAGGACATGCCACCTGCCTTTAAGGAGAAGTATCCTACGGCAAGGGTGATCCTGGATGCGACAGAAATCAAGTGCCAGGTGCCCAGCTCACTTGTTCTCCAGTCGGCAAGTTTCTCCACATACAAGTCTACAAATACCTTCAAAGGACTTGTAGGCATCTCTCCAGACGGAGCTGTGACGTTTGTGTCACAGCTTTTTTTAGGCTCGATGTCCGACAAGGAGTGTGTGAGACAGAGCGGGTTTCTGCAGCTTGCTTTTGACCAGCGTGACTCGGTCATGGCCGATAAAGGGTTCCTGATATCAGATCTGCTAACAGAGATTAATGTGGAACTCAACATCCCCCCGTTCCTTGGCCAGGGAACCTTCACAGAGAATGAGGTGAAGGAAACGGAAAACATAGCATCACTGCGAATACACGTCGAAAGAAGGATTCAGCGTATCAAGAGCTTCCACATCTTTGATCGTGCAATCCCACTGTCATTGGGGCCAGTGGTGAATGAGATATGGACCATCTGCACGATTCTAACAAACTTTCAGGGCCCTTTGCTACGCCAGCAAGACAGTGGCAATGTGGACTAGCAGTGTGTAAACGCCATGTCCATGTGTGTTTGGGAGGATTCTTGCTTGGATCAAAAAACTTTTAACTTTGTTTCTATCTGTGCTTTACATATGCTCTAAATCAAGTGTAATAAACTCCACAATATAGTTAACGAGATAAGAGCACGACAATGGTTTTATTTTTGTATTTACATGCATTTACTGCTCCCTTTGCATATTTGTGAAGGAGATTTGGGATGCAAGGATGGGTACTAAAAATGGCACAGTAAACAAATTGGTGCTGCACAGTTGGCCTAAACATAAAGCAGAACAATGTTTCGTGAAAAAATTATAAAAGACAACTGCATCGTTACAAGTGACTGGGATAAATAACCACATAACATATTCAAAAGATTTGATGCGACATGTCCCTGGCACTCAAGAGTTTGTGGATTTGAATACCGGTCAGGGTGGCTTGGAATGTGACAAAGGCTTAATCCCGAGAAGGCACAGTTTAACAGGTTAAACCAAGATGAAAATAATGCCACAGACCTTTGTTGCGACATGCTAATGGCCTTCCATTAGTTCAGCGCATAAAACTCCACATTAAGGGGCGACACTGGCTAGAGATTTAACTTTTGAACTACTCAAGTGATCGGAATGAAATTTACATCAGATGTAAGTTTATTGTGCAAAATTGCAACTCTCTAAGACAACTTTACATACCTGCATAAGATATGCCACTCTTTGTTAAGAAATCTGATATGCAAATGAAGCCATTAAGCACCATTTTGACGGTTTGCACTATATAGTGGGAGGTGTGGGACTTCGGGCTATCTAGTTTTTATAGCTCAATTGTAAATATTTCAGGAAGAGTTATTACCTCAAAATATGAGATGCATATCTGTCCTACATCAATTTGTGAAACCATAGTTTTTTTCTCAATGAGGACTTCAACTTAAACACAATAAGCTAGATATCCAGATTCCTCATTAGATTTCAGTTCGGAAACATCTTGACTGTGGTATCGGAATACTTTTACCTTCAAACAAAAGACTCCCTCGTTTGAAATTTGCAGCAAAAAGTGGAACTGGAAAAATGCATTCAAACATTGAACTCTTACTTCGTTACTGCCTCGCAATGTGTTGAAAATATTTATATCAGCGTAACTATTTAACATATGGTTATCAAATTTAGCATAAAGGCTGAACTCCATGAGACGAATATGCTGCGAATAACCGACGAATTTTGCCCGGCGGCTTTTGCTCTGTGCGTGGAATCAACACAGTGGCTGCTACATTGCGCGCAAAGCGAGCGTGCCGTCGGGCGGCGTTCGCCAGTTATTCGTCACATAATTCGTCCCATGGAGTTCAGCCTTAAGGGTTTATAATTAGGTTTTACAACGAAAAACCTCAAAATTAAAAGATGCATTTTTAAAACAAAATTTTAAACTTAGTCCCATGTCCTCCTTAACACAGAATGTTAAACTGCAATGAAAACGCTGTAAAGCTGCTATAAAAAAAAAACAGTGAAGAGAAGGGCATCAATCCAAAAATGTAGGTAGCAGACAGTGCGTGCTACACGGAATTATGATAACAGAAAGGTGCTGACCGGCACATGCTGGGAGCTTATGCCTAACTTCGGCAAGCATGCATGCACACTGAGAATAAAAAAAAATGTCTTTAGCATTCTTTTTGAACCTGGGGAGCCAAGAGTATGTAGTGCAGGGGTGGCCAAGCTGTGGCTTGTGAGCCGCATGCGGCTCTTCGCGTGCTAAAGTGTGGTTCGCGGCTCCCTTTTCAACCCCCCCCCCCCGTCCCGGCCACACGAGCAGTTCCCCAAAAAGAGAAATGGAACATGTATTAAATCGAAAGACGGGTTGCGGTTTGGTAGTCTTGTGCTACTACTACCTTACATACAGTTGGACTCATTTTTACTCATATAGATTGATAGTAGTTTGAGTTTTGTTTATTGCTGAGGACAAAAGGTTGCCCCCCCCCCCCCCCCCAAGCAGCTCTTGGAAGTTTCGTGGTTTTGTTTGCGGCTCTTAGGCCGGGTCAGCCTGGCCACCCCTGATGTAGTGCATACAATGCATTTCAGACACCCCATAGCTCCTTATAATAAACGAATAAAACTTTCTGTGCTTCCCAGGTTTCGTAGAATACTAAGGATCCTTTTAATTTTTACATTTACCCTCATATGTGTCACACTTATGTGCTACTTCTGCACAAGTACGGAAGTAGCACTGAAAAATAAAAGTCATCCAGTGCCGCTTTGCACGCCAACCACTCATCCTCGGAGAAGTAAATCCTTTCTACGATCAAAACTTGTGAGAGTACACTACAAAGTCCCCCCACTGCAGCCCGGACAGTGCCATCTGTCCAAGTATCTGATGGTAATGCTTGGGGTCCCTATTCAGCCTGTATACACCTGCAGCATTTTTCGTCATGTAAAAGTTGATAGCTGCGTTGAGGCCTCCGTCCTTCAGGGTGTACGGACACTTTACCTCTACAACTCCATGAGGAGTTGCTTCGGTTGGGTCCCAGACAACCCTGTCTGGCGATGCACCAAGCCATGGGCATTCCGGGTGGACAAGGATGCCACAGGGGAAGGTCTGCACATCGTGTCCCAGGGCACGCAAGCAACTCTCATAGCGCTGGACAGCGACGGGCTCGTACTTGATGCCGTGCCTATTGGAAAAAGGCATTCAAGGGTCAGAAACCAGCTGCTACAAAGGGATCTGAAAAAAGGGCTCAAGTATTAGAAACAGATACGACAATGAGCATAGGCGTAGACTATGGGAGGGCATCGGGGCTCGTGCTCCCCCTGGTGAGATCTGGGGGGGGGGGGAGGGGGGGTAAAGCCCCCCCCCCCCCGCTATGATCGTCCTGCCCCTACCGGGAAAATGGAAAGTCTACGCCGCTGACAATGACTACACTATGTACCAACCGACATTAATCGTGTTCACTGTTCAGGCACGGTCATTTCACCACTGCCACTTTGTTGGGAAATGCATCACAATGGTGTTCAAACTGACTTCCGTAAGTTCCTTTATAGTTCATTATAACTGAAATATTCTGCAATAACCAGCTTCTGGTCATCTCGTACACACAAACTCACATCTAAAAACAAACCAGCGTGCTGCTAGCAGCCCTCCTAGCGGTGCCCTACATGCGAAATAAAGTGTAGGCGAAAGGTCACAATCTCGCATTTACAATTCACGACGATGCGTTCATTTTACATCGGTCCCATTTTCCGTGGTCCTGACTGCATTGATATTGTTCCTGTCTCATCTTCTTTGCAGTGTGTGACTACTCTAAAAGTCTCAGCAAAATGGACAAGCCTTGACAAACTGCAGAATGTTGCGTGAATATGTGCGGCAGCCCATACTGTGTGAAAGAAGCTTGTTTGTCGTTTCCTGTCATGGCTACCACATTCTGGGCAGGCCCTCTCCCTCTTTACCCCGCCAAATGCAGTGAAAGGCCGAACGTGCGTGGCGGCCTGTAAACCGCTGGCGTGGTCTTCTTTGGGCTGCTCTCGTTTCAAAGCGAAGACGCTCGGAACATATTCAGTGCCTCTTGATGGCGGTTCATCGTTCATGATGGAATATCAGAAATATTTTTACAACAATGTATATGAACTCAACAAAGTGCTTCCCGCGCAGGCAATCGGAGTGCGACGGCACCCAGTTTTTCTTTATGTGCCCCGGCGGATTTAGCAGAAAAACAATGGGTGAAAAACTCTTTCAGTACAGTCCAAGCTTACAAAACACCACAGTGCTGTGACAAGAATGAGTTTTGCATTGATTTTTACTGAAATGCCATAGCAGTGCCTACCTCACCTGGCTTGTTTCGCCCACACCCATAGACCGAAAGTGCATCCAAAACACCACCAACGTGGCGTGAGATAAGAGAGTTGAGATGGGGTATATATTTATTGCATAATCATCCTCACTATGCACCACCCTGGGTCTCCATGACACGGACTGCTCTCTTTCTGTGGTGATGCGGCTCCTCAGAACCAATGACAACCGCTGTCACTACGGCTGTTCTGAGCAATTTCGTTTCTACCAGCAAAAAGAATCACTTGGTGCCATTTTTCATGATTTGCGCAAGGCACTTGGCCTCCAGTGGTACTGCAATTTTGAAAAAAAATGTTTATTCTGCGAATTCCTATACCAAGCCGAAGACCAGCACCTGGCGTGCCGAGCGAAAGACTGGGGATTAATTTTGACCATATGGGGATCTTGTGTCTCCATTACCCAGTATGGTAAGTCTTTGAGCACAGACATATGCCTCGGACATCTTGGCCATTCCTCCAGATGCGAGCAATCTTGTTACCTGCGTGGTGCCTTCACTGCAAGATGCTTCTGTGAAATTGCGGGCACTTTGGGATTCAAAATGCGCCAAGCAGCGCTCCAATTTCGAACAATGTCAACTAAAACAAATCTCAATCTATTCAACAACTGTTTTATACAAGGAAATATTAGAATCACCTGACTGCACGGACACGAGAGAGGTCCTTGCTTGAAGTCAAATTGTCGAGTCCTTTCAGGGTCCAGCTCTCTCGTTCGACAGCTTGCCCAAAGCATGAGGCAGTGAGTCGGGTCCGCCGGGCTGGCTTCCACAGTGGACTCTTGGCCTGCTGTCGGGTGTTCCTTTCCAAAATTGTGGCCTCCGTGGGAGTCACCAGCAGAAACTGAAAAAACAGAGGACTTTGTTAGTGATTACAATCAATGACACCCAGTACATGAGTGCTGTTGCATCAGAATCTGAATTTCAAGAAGAACATGGTCGGACCTGTCTGTACTTAAGGGGATGGTGAACTGCAATTTGAATTTCAGAAAACCATGCAGGGCGGGGGTAGGCGGGACGCTAGAATTCGTACAACACCACCCATAAGGTGATACCTCGGCTGAGGCCGACAAGGCGTTGTGACGTCAACATATCCCGTTTCCTCCTCTCTTCGCTTTGCCACCTCAAGGCGGCGAGGCGGAGAAGACGCAAGGCTGTTTCTGCTCCTTCTCGACTTTTCTCAGGGAAACAAGAGGTCAACGTATCTCAAATGTGCCTCCTTTTTTTAGAAAAATACGGTCATCTATTTGAGATATCGCTGTATGAGTGATGTTTTGGTGTTTGTAGTAATTTTGAGCCATG